AATGACTGAAAATGTCTTCGACAAAATCTGTGATCTTGTTCACACTGTACTAGACAACATTGACGACACAGTCATCAATCGCAAATATCCAAGTCAATCCGTTGAGCACGTTGCACTTGCAGTGTTAAATCTTATCCAAAAGAGTAAAAATGGAGCTGTTTGGATCACCGAAGGTGATCCTCAACCACCTTATGTCATTGCAGATTTTGATCATTATTCCAAGCGAGCTCTACCTACTATATAAATGTTACATTGATAATTCTCCTTTTCTTCATTGTTTTGATAAAGAAACGTAACGGTAATTAAGTGTTATCAGAAAGGTTTTGTATACATGAAATTATGTCACATTCAAATTAAATGATATAAAAGCTAAATTAATCATATTCATAGATTATTATATTAAACAATATTCCTAAAATAGAATTTCTCCATAGTGTTTATCCTAAACTTTTATAAATGACTTAAAAAACTTATTTTACCTATGTATATGAAACAGTACTAATATATTATCTATATGTACAAACACATAACGTTTTATATTAAAAATTATATTATCTTTAAAGTTATTGTCAATTACAAGAAATTTTTTTACCTTGAATTAAAATATATCTGTTCGCGACTGAAAAATCTAACAATGCAATCGCATTTTCTGTATTTTGTGTTTAAGCAGTATTAACTTAGACTTTTGTAAATTGTATTTAAATAATTAAACAATTGTATTTGCACAGATAAATAATTTATAAACAACGCAAAAATTTTATTTCATTATTAATTTAAGCTTATTACGGTAAAGAGAAGAATGAATTAGCTATTTCATATTTTTTAAAGAGATCAGAATTTTATCTTTATGATATGATGTTCTTGAGATATATATGAAATACTTGTAAAACATTCTAAGATATAACAAACAACAAATAAACATTTTTCTGAATCTTTTTGCTTTAAAACTGTTTAACTATAAATGCATTTAATAAAGGTATGAATTACAATATAATATAATATTACTGAAACGCAAAATGCAGAAAATACATTTACATCGCAAATATATATTTCCAATGTAAGATAAAAAAATTTATTGCACAAATGTATCTAATACTGAAATATTTTATAAACTGTAAACTTTCGAAATACGGCAATATTCGAAAAACATATAAATGAAATCTATTGATAATTAAAGAAAGATATTGATAATTTGTTTTAATAATTTTTAAAATATGAGAAATATATAAATATGAAAAAGATTTTCGCAGTAATAAAATATTCAATTATCCAAATTTATTATATAGTGCTTTTAAATCTTCTTTTTATATAAATCAGATATTTTAATCACGTTTTTCGGCTTTTATGCTTTTCACTTTTTATTTGTAGTGTTCAAGAATATAAATGCATTTGTTGTACATATAAAATGTATAATCCAAATACATACATAATTTACAAATAATCAATATCTTTAAAGATAACAAGTTTTAATTATGTTAAATA